CAGTACATGTCAATTATTGAGGTGCCCACGATTACATTATCCTCCAAATTCATCTTTATAACCTGCATAAATTGACAAACATCTTGCATCAGAACACTAACCTTCTGAAATACAAAATCCTATCACTCAGACCCACCAGCGAGCTTCCACTGTGGCATAGATAATTCTAGTACCTGATCATGTATGCACTTCCCTTCTCGCAGAGACCCTGAATGAGAACAAGCCAGCAACACTGCGGATAAGGTAATGGCGTTGAAGCTCACATCATCACCATCATTTACCATTCTGTAGAAAGCTTCCAAAGCTTCTGTGGAGAATCCATTTTGTGCATACACAGCAATCATTGAATTCCATGAAACATCATCCTTATCAACCATCCCATCAAACACTTTTCTCGCCACACGAACACCCGCCTCGCCGCACTTGGCATAAGCGTCCAACAGAGTATTCCCAACACCCACATGACCGTCAAGACCCCGCTTTACCACGAACCCATGAACACCTTCAGTGACTCCCTTCTCTGGTACGCGAGAACAAGCTGAAAGAACCGAAACCATAGCCACCGGATCCGTAAATACCTCCCCATCTCCACCAGCCTCGCTTTCTTCCGCGACCAACTCCTTGAAAAGAGATAAGGCTTGATGAGGATTATCATTTTGGACATACCCAGTAATCATCGATGTCCAAGAGACAATATTTCGTTGAGGAATTTCGTCGAACAATGTCCGTGCATCTGCCAAGTGGCCACACTTAGAGTACATATCGATTAAAGCTGATGAGACAAAGAGATCAAATTGATAGCCAAAGATGAAAGCCTGTTGGTGGGCTTGCTTGCCGGAGAGAATATCGTGGAGAGCAGAGCATGCTTTGATGGCACAAGGGAAAGTGGAGCGATTTGGGTTGAGGGAAAGCTTGCGCATTGAAGAGAAAGCACGAAGAGCTTCGATGGAGTCGCCGCTGCGAGCCAGGTCGGCGATGACAGAGTTCCAGGAGAAGACATTGGTCTTATCTACGTACTGGTTAAACCAGGTTGTCAGGTTTTGGTTGGTGGAATAATGGCGTCTGTGGATTTTACAATGAATTATGATTAAAGCAGGCTTAGTGCTTAGAGTCTTCATCCTGGTATCCGGTTCCAATTTTTGGGGTCAACGAGGATGATTGAGAGTGTTAGCACGACAATCCACAAGATTTAGAGAGTGTTCGGCTGCGTTCAATTTTATTTTTTTTTATAAAAAAATTATATTTAATTTTTAATCCAATTATATAATATTGTTTTATAAAAAAATGTAATAAAATTATTGAAATTCAATTTAACTTAATTTTCATAATACTAATAATACGTTAGTAAAATAATTAAATATTATAAACTATATATAATTTTTAATTTGTTGTAAATTCTTTTACATTTCTTAAGGGAGTACTTTATACTGTTCTAACAAATAAGATTGAGAGCATATTTTTTTATGACTGATCATATCATGTGAAATTGTACACACTAATTATAACAAAATCTCTTTAACAAAAGTACATAACATTGCATATTCTGATTCTAAATCACAATAAGTACTCTGCGAAAATTCATCAGTCTATGCCAATCAAGGCTGTAAACAGGGCGCATCGTCCATTTAATCAACATATAAACTTCAAATTACATGTTGTTGGACATAAGTAGTATGCAAATATTCTTTGAACAGAAATAAGTTAAATTTTATTATGAATTTTTACATAGAAACTGCAAAACCCAACAAGCAAGAAAATGCCACCGCCACTGAACTTATCTGAGGCCTACTGTATGAACTGATCTTCCCCACAAACTCACCGGACGCTGGCACAGGCGCTAGATCACCAGAAATTGAAGGAGCCGCCGCCGAGCTCAGAGGCAATTCATTTGAAGGGAAAAACGAAGACATATTGGGCGCGTTTACATAAGGCAAATCCGCCGGCGAAGCCGAGATATCAGGCTCACCGGCGACACCCACATGCAAACCGACGAAGGTGACAACGGGTATGATCACAAGAAAGAACCTTGGAATTGTCGCCATGAATATATATACATAAAAGACAGAACTCTGTATATAGTATTGTTAGAGATGGACACAGAGAGAGAGAGAGAGAGAGAGGCGTAGATATAGAGTGATGGGTAGCTTTCAGCAGCTAAGTTTCATCAATGGAGGATAAGGTGGTAAGGTGGTGGGGTGGTTTGGTTGCTGTAGATCACGGGATGGACAGTGCGTCTCGAATAATCTGTCTGGTCTTTTGCATGAATATTTATTGAGGGTTTGTTTCCATTCATCTCTTTGGTGTAAAGTAATAGTGAGTTGAGTACCGAGTACAAGTAGTTAGATTCCTTTTTCTATGTGCAGGCTTTTATGGAATTTTCACAGTACAATATTGTCTTTTTAAAGTTTATAATTAAGATTGTAATAATAGATAGGGTTTTGGTCCTGTAGTTATCTTTAAGACAAATATCCAAAATTTGACTTTTGATCTAGAGTAATATTAACATATATTACGGTAGAAATATGTTACAAAATTCACTGTAAAGGCAGGGTTTTGTACAGTTCCTAACTGGGTTTTGTTTTATTTCATATTTTCTGACAATAATTGCTGTAAACAAAAAGAAAGTTTCTTTCTTCACATGGTAAAGGTTTGGAATATTTGGAGAAGTGGGTCTACACCATTTTGTTTTCTTCCTCAATTCATGTTACCTATGAGTTCCTTTTACCCAAGATTCAAAGACAATTGAGACTTTAATCAAATATAGCCTTTTGACATTTCTAATTAAAGTTTGTTTACCATTTTCACTTAATCATTGAAACAAATGAAACTAAAAGAAAGTGGTATACACCAGGCACAGTGTCCTAGCAAGATATTTTCATCTGGGCCACTTTATATTCAATTTTCATAAACTTTCAAGAATCATCCCTAAGAAAATATATTTACCCCTATATTTTAACAGATTTGTAATGATACCCACTTTTAGATAATAACTATACCGTTTTCATTTACTCTGATTTCGAATTCTATTTCTCATTCCGTCTCAAAAATGAAGAGATAAGAACTTTTAAATGTCATTGGCTGTAGCTGGAATTGAAAAATTGCAGAGCATGCCTTGAGGAGAGCTTCTTTTGAACTATGCAAAGCAGAACAAATATAAAACTCAGTTATAATCTTTGAATCCAAAAAAACATGTTTCCCTAATACAGGAAATACATTACAATTAACTGTATAAAACAACTGTTGTAGGCACTACAAATCAAAAGAATCACCCAATACAAAGATCCAATCTCCAAAGAAATTTTTTCTTCTTCGGAGGTGGAAATAAATATATCGAAGGCTACAACAAGATGAAACAAGTATTACCAGTTCGTGAGGAATTGTGAATTTTGTGATATATGAGATCGGTCCATGAATGATTAAGATTCCAGTTTCGAGTCAATAATCATCAGCTCGTTTACCAGCAATGGACTTAGAAGGCAGATATAGAATTTCACATTTCCCAAATTATAGAAGCCTAAGATGGGAGGTGTCATTCAACCGTTTTATCTGCCAACCTGTTTTCCATGAATGCTGTAGCACAGTCACAGAGGAATCTTCGATGCAGATTTTGTGTGACATTACCGGGCTGCAGCCAAGGAGGCCGGTCATAAGACACTTAATAGGCACTGAATGGGTGAAAATACCAACACAAGATGAGATCGAGGAGGAGCAGCCTCTGACATTCAAGTCATGGAGGTCATTTTGGCTGTTAGCTTCCCTACGGAACATCTCATCGTCAGCCTCATGATCACCAGTAGTAGTCACAAATTGTAGCCTGCTCTTACCAGACTTCTTCCTTGACAGCCCGTGGCGTTGCCTCTGAAGAAATTCCCAGTGTGGTGCAGGAAGAGAGTGCCCATCTCGGTCATTAATTGGGTTGGTCAAAGAATGGGAAGTCTGTGAAAACCCTTGGGTCTCATTCTGATGGGGCGAAGTGAAATCTGATCTCAGTTTCCCAGGAAGTCCAAGTATTGTTTCATTTAAGAACTGAACCATCCGAAATTCCACTTGCCTGAGTGACTCTCCAGATGGGGCAGAAAAATCAGGCTGGCATCTTTCAATTAAGTTCAATATTTCAGGGGTATATGTTTCTGTCCGATGGCAGCCTTCCCAATGACCCATACTCATCTCTGCAAGTTCATCCGAGGAATGTATTCGTTCCTCTGCAAAGTTCATTTCCTGTATGATTTTTCAGTTTAAAATTTGTTTAATAAACTATAAGAAAAATTGCATTTATCTAGCCTTATGTCAGCTAAACAAGAAAAAAACCAATTAGATCAAATGCTTGGTTTGGTTCAAATTTCTAGTCTATTAAACAAAAAATGAGAACGCAATACAATGAGAAAATATCTGAAAGAAAATAGCATTTAACTTCTAAGTTAATTCTATATCCAATTTAAATTGCTTTTTGTGACCCATCTCTTGAAAAGTAGGAATACAAATATTATATTTTGGAATTAAACATATAAATCGAGTTGGATCAGTTATCCATCAAACATATAAATCATAACTAAATTCTACATATTAAATGATTAAGATTTCTGAATTAAATGACAATAAAATAAACTCGAACCAAATAGTATATTACGGTTTTGTTTTTTCTTTTTAAGTATAACTAAAGGAAAGTAAAGCTTATTTGCTTTATGATGTAAAACTCACACAAGAAGACTATATATCACCAAGCCAAGCTAGCTTGGGACCTAGCTGATTTGATCAACTTCCTCAATCAAGTCCTAATTCCAAGAATATTAGCAGTCTGCAGAGTAGCATGATGCATTCTATTTCAGTTGCCATGGACCATCAAAACCAAAGACAATTTCCCCTTTCCCACCAATTTCCTTGAATCTCAACTTTTCTAATCCACCTTCCATCAATGCAACATTCCTCAAAAAACTGCTAGACTCTCCGTGAATTTGTTACTCACCACCATCCGAAGCTAAATGACCTAACCCTCCTTCTAGACATTTTAAGCATATAGGTTTGTCAATTATATGACCCTTACCAGGAGGCAGGATCCATCTAAATATACAACACGATAAATTCAGATAAAGAAAAATAACTAAATAGGTAGAAGAGAAAATAAGGAATGTAAGTCCTAGCCACAATAATTTCTTATAAACCATAGTAGGCCACCGAAAGGGTAAACCAAAGACAAGGTTTTTATCATAAGCATTAGAATCATAATTTCTAGAAACTGATATTACAATCGTTAAAAAGTTAATTTTCACAATTAATATCATGAACTCAAGCTTTAGTAATATTATCTCACGGTGAAAGATTCGAATGTTTTGTTCAACTCGCATTCTATTGGTTTTATGCAATTCCTATAATATATTTGACTCAGTCTCGGAGAATAAGATTGCGATTTCGAATCACTTTTATTCTTCGAATCACTTTTATTCTTATCTCGATTATTTAGATAAAGTTCTACCTTCTATATAAGCCAAAACTGAGAATTAGGATCTTATTCTAGTTAACTAAACATGCTAAAATAAGAATTGAATGAAACACAAAGATTTATAGAAACTACAATCAGCAAATTATGATCTCATTATAATTAACTAAAATAATGACAGGAGAATAATTGCTTATAACCAATAAGAAAAGATTAACAGCATTAAGTAACCATGAGCCACTACGGGCCAAATCTCCAGTTTCTCGAACTTAACTTGTTCATTTTAATTCTGAATGAACATGGGAAAAACCAGAATCAAACTCGAGGGTTACCTGACAAACGGAGACTGCCATGGATCTTGCCCGATCTAACGGCGAGGAATAAACAGCGTTGAAGCGAACCCCTTGGGAGTTCAAGAACACGGCTAAGGCTCTGGCTTGGCGCTTCCCGTTAGGCGTCAAGGCCGCCTCGTGGCACCTCCCGCCCACCAAATCTGGCCTCAGGTTGAGCTCGCACTCCCCGTGACTGATCAGGAACACCTCCATGACCGCCCGATCATCATCGATCGCGCCGCCGATAGACGAAGCTCCCCCACCGAGCCGCGAGAAAACCGGAGGCGGCGGCAGCGGAGGGGGCGGAGCCAGAACGTTGTAAGGATCCCACACCTTGATTGAAGGCCCCAGCCGCGGCGTCCCTAACGAAGATAACTGCGGGGAAAGAGGCGATGCTGACGCGTAGCAGGGTAACATCTCCGGCTCCTGCTGGAGAACCTTCTTCACCAAATGATTCCCCATTTGTCTAGTATTCGATTCCCCATTTCCCTCATCGTCTTCCTCCTCCTCTTCGTCCTCCTCACTCTCTTCTTCGTCTTCTTCAACTACTTGCACGGACTGGCTGGAGCCCATTTCCTGATTCAATCCGATCGGGTTAAGTTTTGATCTTTAGTCAGAGAAGGCATTGTATTGGGGAGAGTGGATTGAATAAGCTGGAAGTGAAAATTGCAGCTTGTTCTGCATTGGATTGAAAAGCGCTTATCTTATTTTTTTAGCTTTTTCTTTTTTTTTATTTTTTTTTTTTAATAAGTAGAAAATGGTAAAAGAGAGAGATCTGAAGATGAGATGCAGGTGGGCTATAAGCTATTAGATCTAATCGCGGTTTTCTTTTGTCATTTTATGCAGTTGGAGATTGGGACCAAATCTATGTTGGCAGTGAACCTAGAGGAGGAGGAGGAGGAGGAAGTACTACTCCCAACTTCAATCAGACCTTTCACTTTTCATTTACACAAACTGAAAATAATTTTTACCATTCCATTAATACCTTTTTCACCCATTTCTCAAAATAAGTATGTATGTGGGCTTCCTTTGATCATTATTTCTGGCCCTTTTCTCTATTGGTCCACAGTTGGTGATTAGAATGACAAGTAAAGCCACTGACCATAAGTGCCCATAATGGAAATTGCCCTAGCCCATTTGAAAACCCACGAGCCATTTCGAAGACTCACGGGAGCACGTTTGAAAAAAAATATTTTTAAAAAGTGTTTAGGGTTGAGTTCGGAGAGTCTCTTAGCATCCTCTCTTCTCTTCTTATCGGAGTTATTTCACAAATACGTGAAAAGAAATAACGAGGAAATAGTATATTTAAGAGAGTGCAGCACAACCGATGGAGAA